TATTGGGTTTAAGTAGTTATGGGGTTAACAAATTGATCACTTAAAATAGTCCATCAAAATCAAATACTCAATATAATGTTTGTGAATTGAAAGCTCACTTAAGATATGAAATAAAATTTCTAACATCATTCATTTTTATCGGTTTGTCCCTCCGCACTGTGCGGGTTATCCATAGGAGGCTGATGCGACAAAAATCATTTCATGTGGCTTATAATTATTTGTAGATATTTTACAGATTAGTCAAATGTAACTAATACAATAAAATATTACAGGATAAAGCAAAAAGGAATAAAATATGAAATGGTCCTCCGTCTAATCGTCTATGGATATGTTCTTGATAGATATAATTGAGTTTTTCCACCTTAACCAAAACCAGAAGAGGATAAATTCCACAATATTGTCTTTTTTAAAAAAGTTACCACCAATATGGCGGTTTAAAAAATATTGACATGTATATTGTGTTTTTTGTAGGAAAACAGCGAGTCCGCCTGAGACTCAGGCGCGGCCGCTAGTTATTGATTTTTCAATAAATCCCACCTGGGCGCCCGAGACTGGGGCGTTAGGGCCTTTTATAACGCTTCAGCGTTGGCGTCCGAGACTGAGGCGGGTTCGCTGCTTTCCTCATCCACTCCAGCACCATATATACTCACCTTTCCTTCAGTTCTTCACCACCAAAAAAATCAACGAAGTTTTAGACGAGAGAAGCTCTGGTTGCTGTCTGGTTGCTGGGAAGATGGCTAATAATAGGTAAGAGACGTATTTATTTTTTTAATAATATTATTCAAATGCTATAATGATTTTGTTTAGTTAGTAATTAGTGAGTTTGTTTTTTATGTAGTGATTTTAGAAGATTTGAACTAGCTGTTCGGTGGAAATCAGAGAAAGTAGAGGACAATTTGGGCGTCCATTTCGTTGGTGGTAGAAGTTTTCAGTTGACTGTTCCATCCAGGGTGAACTATCAGAAACTTTGTGAAAATCGAATTCAGAGAATACGGCGTAAAGACGAAGCAGTACAAGATAGTGATGTGATTACAGGTTTTACTTACTGTCTTCCAGAATGGCATCTGCAGCGCCGACCTACCCATTTCACGGTACATGTAGGATAGAGCAGTTGCTCTCAAGGAAAACCTCCCCGCTCTGCACCAATCCTCCACCAAAAGTAGTTACGGCAGATGAACTGAACCTCCAGACCGATAGGGGAACAAAACACCTTCCATCAGAAACAGAGCATAAGCTCGTGCAAACTGCCTTGTAGTCTCTGGTGATGCCGATGGCGGTAGGTGATCAAAAGTTTCCCTGAGCCAAGCAATCCTAATGACGCTGCCGCCAATCAGTAGGAGCCCTAACAGTCGAAGACACCTAACCGACCAGTCCTCGTCTGGTATGTCTACTACGACGGCATCACCGTCGATCGCTAGACCGGTTAGTGTCGTAATGTCCTCTAAAGTGATCGTCACCTCACCGAACGACATGTGGAAGTTCGATGTATCGAGTCGCCGACGCTCTACGAGCGCAGTAATCAAACCCGGATCACCGGTAAGAGGGACCAATGGCAGAACCGTAAACAAGCCCGCATCGACAAGGTACCTCTGATAATGTGGATGGTACGTGACTAAATTGCTCGTACCTCGAATATGGTAAGGTCGATCACCAGCCTATAGTGCACAAAACTTATATTAATTGAATTTCATACGTACTTCTAAATTCAGTTCACCTAGTATTTATATATCTAATTTAAACTTATTCTAATTTTAACATATATTTTATTTCATGCGTAATTCTATTCTAATTTCAGTTCAGTTCACCTAATAAAAAAACTATAGAAGTAGTTTAAGGACTTACCTCGTTTGCCCAAACCGAGTCAATACGATGGTGCCCTTGTCCCCAAAGAAGTACCGGATCCATCGGAGCTGTATCAATTGTCGCAGGAGGTGGTCTCATGGAATAACTATCCATAAGCCTAGGAACTGGAATAAAAATTAATCAGAACATAAAAAATAGAAACTAAATTAAAAAAAAGTTCTGGCTACCGCCGGCGAATACTCACCTCGGTAGCGGTCGCCGCCGCGACCTCGCCGCCCTCTCCCCCTTCCTCTACCGGCGAATGGTTCATCGTCGTCGGACATTCCAAATCTAGATCTGCTGTTGGGTGATGAAAAGCGGACGGCGAAACAGGCAGTCTTTGAGGTGGGGCCGTCTGGGTCTCAGGCGAGGACGTATGAGGCTGGGGCAAAGCCGCTGTATGCCCAGGCAAGTCTGCTTGGAGTCGGACGGGACCGCTGCTTGGAGGAGGAAAGAGAAGCAGGGTTGGTGGTGTTTCTGGGGTAGGAAAGAGAGATGGGATAAGACACGAGCGGCGAGGATTCAAAATAAAAAAGCCTATGGGCGCCCTCGCCTCAGACTCGGACGTGATGGTTCTGCCAGCGGTTCTGCCTCAGTCTCGGACGGGCTCGCTCCTAACTCTCTATAAAACACAATATATATGTGTAAATTGTTTTTAAACTACCATATTAGTGGTAAAATTAAAAAAAAATTATGAAATTAACCCACCGAAAGAACATAAGTCAGAATTTCAACCCCCTCTCCCAAACAATGTCTTAAATAATGTTTGGTGGCATAGAGTGCCATGTCCATAAAAGGGATTGGATTTACAATAACTCATAATTTCAACCCCCCCCCCTCCTCCCAAACAATGTCTTAAATAATGTTTGGTAGCATAGAGTGGCATGTCCATAAAAGGGGAAGAAGTTAGTGATAAACAATTTTGACATATTCCACGTGATTTGACCCATATTGATCTGCTTGTAGTAGGAATTATACATTTGACTTTTATATATATATATACTAGGTTAGGACCGCACTTCTTGGCGGACTGGTCAATTTGCCTTCTTGTTATTAAAGGGAATAAAAAGTGAAAATCAACTTAAAACGCGTACTATTGAGTAAATAAAAGTTTGTTTTTCAAATTGGACTGGACGATGAACTAAAAAATTAGTAATTTATGGTTCAATTGTTACTCATGATAAACCCATTGCTGAATTATTTAAATAACCATTTATAATTGTAAATGAGAAGACATATATAAATATAATTTACTAATTAGGGTAGACAAAGAAGGCAGAGATGTAAATAAAGAATGAGAGATAAAAGGACAACTGAGGAAGTAACAAAAATCATTATGGCATTATTTAGTTTATAATTTTTTTTGTTTTCCATAATATTGTTTTTTTTTTGTTGACAAAGTATTCAACCAGGGAACTGATTAAATCATAGCGGGATTTGAAGTTCAATGTATAATTGATCAATCATAAAACCAAAATAACTTTGTAATTGGTTCACGAATTTCTTCTATCAAATAAACATGTGCTCTACTGTAATCAAAACTAAGAATAGTTTAGGTGACAGTAGTGCAAATTAGCATTGCTCTTAGGCAACAGTAAAATGACTTTAGGTTTATATATATTAATATGTTATTTTGACTTATTCATAAACTAATTTCGGCTAATGCAAAATTTCACTTCCTATGTAACTGGGCTTTGTATGTCATGTAGTCATCTTTTTTTTTTTTTTTTTGTCTATATAGATGAAGAAATAGATCACCTTGCCCTACTATGCTCCGCATGAGTAATAGCCGATCTGGATCCGACTTGTATTTATCAGAGAACGAACATCAATATTGAGATATCAACCCTACTCAGACATTCCTAAAAGTGAGTAGTTCTTTACCTCTTTAAAACTATATGCTTAAATTGTCCTAAACTCTTTGCTTAGATTGCCCTCACCTAACAAGCTACATTTTGTGAAATAAGTGGTGCTAGGTGCTAGGAAGAGTTTTTTTTTTTGACAAATAAAATATATTTTTTTTTTTTTGACAAATAGGTGCTAGGAAGAGTTTTTTTTTTTTTTTTTTTTTTGACAAATGCTAGGAAGAGTTCAAAGTGAGTAATGTCTCAAACATAATTAGACTATAGAAAAAAGGTAATGCACTCTAACTCTGAACCTAGTAGATGTAGCTTGTTAGGAATGGCAACATGATCCACCTAAATGATCGCTTAGGCGTGCTAGCCTGCTAGGTGCTCGGCAGAGTCCAAACGCCAGCCAAGTATCTTTTTAAACCTTGCTATTTATAAACGAATAGATGAACAACAAAGCAAATTAAGGTAATGTCATATATACCTAATTTTTACCCTTGATTTAGTTGCACGGACTAACCTTTTCTTATGTGGTGTGGGTGGGCATGATGGAATCTTTCAACCTACTTAGATTTTTTTGACTGCCTACTAACTGTCATTTTCTTACGCATGAAAGATAAACAGTTTTCTGTAGAATGCAAAAAGAAAGTACAAACTTTGTACTAGCTATAGACATTAGCCATTCAGGTTAAACAAGATAAGAAGAAGAAAAGCCAAAACTCAAACTTATGCCCCACTCCTAGCTAGCTTGCCCTTAAATGGTCAACACCAGAACTACCAAGCACCATTCTTCTTCTTTCATCCAAACACATTATCATAATTTACTCAACAAAAAATTTAACCTTTTTTCCTTTTAAAATGGCGATCTCGAGACTGAAAGCATAGGGAAAGCTATTTTAATACTCGTAATAACGAAACCTGACAAGTTCTAATCCGCAACCTTAATTAACTCATCGAGGCACTTCAATCATTTGGAATGGTTCTCAGCAAAGTGAACAATTAAGCAAGAAATTGCGACCCAATAAATTGGTTTACGAAATTTTAAAGTGCCAACAAAAGAATACAAGTGACAATGATATGATTCAACCACGTACCGAGAAAATGATACAGAGATTATCTACTATCATAGTAATACATACAAACTACAATTTCGAATTAATTACACTTCAAGATGATTTACTAGAATCAGTAAATAATTGTGGAAAACTAAAATGTAAAGAAGAAGAAGAAAATCACTCACTCAAATTCCAAACGCGGCTTGGAAAGTAATTACTCAAGTAAGTCGAATTAGGTTACTACAATTAATTACTAAGTTTTATAGTAGTAGCTAGCGCCAGCCCTTTGAACGTGGCGGCATACGAAGACGGTTTCCAAGTCGGGAGGGACGAAGAACTCCCTCGCTCCGCCGCCGTTGCAGTTCCGCTTCAAGCTGGTGGCCCTCCGCTTCCTCGGAGGCGGCGGGCAGGGCAGCCTCACCGGTATCCTCGCCTCCTCGCTCTTTGGAGTCGTCGGAGATCCGTACTTCTCGTCATCCACACCGCCGTCGCCGGCATCTCTCTCCGTGAAAATTGGCTTCAAGGGAGCCCGGAGCGAGATGCCGGAAATAACCCATTTGCCGTTCTCTGCTGAGAAACCCATTTAGTTACTCCTGGGGGAGGTTTTGGGAGAGTTTAATTATAAGGGAGAAAGGGAACAATAACCAAGGAATAAAGCGGCTTTTTTTTTCCTAAGAAGGAGAAGAATAAAGATGGAAGCTTGAAGCTTTTTTCCAAACTTTATATGGGTGCGTGGGGATTTGAGGGGAATTCTTCCTTTCTTTGGGTTTGAGCCTGAAATTTGGTTGAAAAGGGAGAAGAAGAAGTCAAGGAAAAAGGGTAGAGACTAGAGAGAGTTGAGTCATGGAGAAGCTTGCTTGGGGTTATAAAGATGGGGACTTTTTTTGGAATGGTGGGGTGGAGGAAGACAAATTGAAAAGAGTGAATCGGAGTAGGAGTAAGTTCAATGTTCTTGTCTATACTATTGAGAGGAGGGAGGTGGTAGAGAGAGAAAGAGCACCCGAGGAGGATGGACAAATCATGGTTCGACACTTGTCATTATCCCCCCCAGGGATTATCAATTATAATTCTTAGCGTGTAGGTTTATCTAGCTAGGCTAATAATTGACGTGGGTGATGAATAGATAATCAAGACGGAAAGGCTAGAATTCTAGCTATATTCGAGAGAAGGAACATTTGACTTTGAGTTTTAACAGTAAGAATTTCAAATGAGAGTACGTGTATGTGATATTTTAGGCAAACTACCACATCAATAAAGCATGTGAGCGATCAATAATTCATAATGAACATGCAAATTTAACGACAAAACGCATTTTGGAGTGAAATGATAGAATTATTATGAGAACTTTGAAGTTAAACGTACTTATTGTGGAGCAATGTAGAGATGTGTGACCTTCCAAAAAGTCATCATAATGGACCCAAAACACAGAGGTAGTCTCAAAGTATTGAATTAGGATGATACACTTTTTTTGGTCTTGAACACTTATCTTTCCTTTAAAAAAATAAACATTTTATCATATCCCGTGTAATTTTTTTAAATAAAATTCCGAAATATGCAGAAAATCACTGCGGTTCAAGACTATAAGAACATCGACATTCAACATCTCTTACTTCACCATAAATACGTCAACAATATTCTATTAAGTAAGTAGAACTAAATCGAAGTCATTTGGCAATCACATATTCCGTCAAATTTGTGTCCTTGTGTGGTTGGTCTACCAGAGGAAGATACTCAGCCAAGACATGCTAAAGCACAGAGGCTGGAGCATGCCCGACAGATGTCCTCTATGCTTGGTTAACGAATAAGATGTGATCCATTGTTCTTAAACTGCAGATTAACAACCCATGTCTTGCGAATCTTAAGACGATTTGTCCACATCCAAAGTAATATGCTTCAAGGAGATATTTCTACAGTAATCAAATCTTGAGGTCACCGAACGAGGGTCCACCGAACTGACGTCCACCGTCCCGAATCCGCCGAATCAGAGTCTGATACGACTTGTCATAACTGGGTAGCCCATTAGTACGATATTGTCTGCTTTGGGCCAAGCCCGCACGGATTTACTCTTGGGTGTCCTCCCCAAAAGGTCTCGTACTAATGAGCTTGGTGAACACCAATATACAAGGGTCCCTTCCATTGTATTACTGATGTGGTACTTGGATTGTTCCATAACACTTTGTTTGTTGGCTGCTGCATCAGTGTATTGGTTGCTGCATTTTTTGTCTTGTGTGTATTTTTTTTTTTCTCTGTTTTTCTATACTCAACTTCTTTAACCTCTGTAATTAATGAATTTCACCCTTACAAAAAATAGAACTAAACAAAAAAAAAAAACAATATAAACCTTCATTTTTCAAATCATTCATTCAAACTATCCAAAGTGAAAAATTTTAACATGGTAAGTGGTATCTAGACAGTAGTAAAAGCCAGAGAAAAGGCTAAAAGGAAGGAACAGCAAAGGATTGGAGCGCAAGAGGGATTTGATTGGTTAATGGGGAACCTAAAGATTCAAAGGGGAAGGAACCCGAACGAGGAAGAGTGCCGCCCGTGAATATAGCTGACCGACGGTCAGCAGCAAGAATTGACTTTGATTTTGCCGCCAAAATTCTCTTACTATTTCTGCCATGTGTTCATAATAATATCTTATCTTTGGGGATCACCAAAATGGTGCTGCTTCCTACTTCCTTTCTATTATTATCTATAAAAATATGTTTTCTTAAGCAAAGTTTGCTCTCAACTGATTTGGTTGATGAATGTCAGTTAAATAATTGATTAACTAAATGGAGCATATGCTGTCATTATTTTGGTTCTCAATGTTTATCCAATCTCATGGATGATCCATTACACATTTAATATTATGCAACGAGAGTGGGCGACCAATTAAAACAAAGGAAGAAACTAATAAGCAAAACCTAAAACTTTATTTTTTTAGCTCATACTCATAATTCATTCATAATCCTGACTTCACCATCGCTATTGTGACGTTAATGTCTTTCAGAATTTGCCCATAGCATGAAGTCGATAAGCCTAATTGCTTGAAAGTTCCTTGGTATCCTTCTCGAGACTCCGAACAGAAACTCTAAACTACCTAAGTGAACATTTTGTGAAAACTTGTTCAGTTAAGGTTACCCATTATTAACCTGAAAATTCAGAGTGATAGAAAGATTTCATTACCCTACCATATCCACATTAACATTATTATTTGTCAGCCAAACGATACATGATCAGCGGTAAACCCGACTTCAACTTAATTAACCAAAGACTGAAAATCAAAGCCTCAAAACATTATTTCACTGTCAACAAAAAAACAAAACAAAAAAAACAAAAGCTGACATCGCCGCCGATCCCCTGACATCTCAACGGCCGGCCACCCCGCCACCGCCCGCCGACAACTTCATCACTCACTCTGCAACCGACCTGCCAAATATAATTTAATGAAGAATTAATCTTTCCTAATTCCATAGATAATTGATGCAAAAAAAAAAAACATATATACAATGAAATGTTACATTACGAAAATGATGGGTATTTCCCTTTTAAGGAATTCCAAAAAAAAAATTTACCTTCTGTTTCTCTCTTCTAATATTTAAGTGTAATTTCTTGCTATATTTTCATAAAAAAAAAAATTATTTCCTGCTATTACTTACCTAACTTAACTGCAATTCTGTTACTTGGTGCATTTACACTTCGGGTATCCAAAGGTGTAAACACGTGTTTTGCACTATTAGTCTGTTACTCGTTAAAGTGGATTAATTAATCTTGAATTATGAAAATATTAGTGTTTCATTTTTCTCCCACCGCGTCTAGGACCAATGGAAATATTAGTGTTTTCGCTAGCATATGACTGCGATATAAAATGTTTTTTTTTTATAACGCCATATAAATAATTGATTTCACATTCCTATAAGAAAGATAAGAAAAGAAAAAAGCCCTAGTTAGAAGAAGAAGAAGAAGAAGGTGTTAAAAACAGAAATCCAATAAAGGCACTAAGAAAGCAGCAATTAGCAAACAGCCCATAATCTAGATTGATTCGCGCCAATGGAGAAAGATTAAGGGTTGAAACAAAGCCCACTTACTAATATATTATTCGATTCTGTCTCATAAAAAGATACAGATTTGATGCTTATTCTTCCACTTTGGACGCCTTTTCTTTCCCCTTTATTGTCAAAGCTAATAAAAATAAGAGATTTGTTTGTTCATTGAAAAACAAGAACAGCCAATTTGTTCTTAAAATTGGAAATGGTGGTTTCAAAATGCACTGGTTGCAAATTACGATTTGGAACTTCTTCTCCTTACTTGCAATATTTTCCTTTCTGCTAAACTTGGGGAAAAGGAACCCTTTTTTCCCCAGTGCACTTTGTTTTGCAAAAAAAACAGGCTACCAAACAGAAAACGCCCCTCCATTTTGCTGCTTCACTTCAGCCCATCTGTGACAGGCCATGTGAACTGCAAGCAAAAAAACAAGGGGGAAAAAGGGGCTTCCCAAATCTGAAATAAGCAAAAGCCCATGTGGAGAGTTGTTTTGAGTAGAAAAAAGTTTCCATTTTGTGATATGAGATCAAAGCATGTTCCTGATTCTCTACCTCAAACTGTCTACCCTCCTCCAATCATATCATCATAAGCATCCAACTTCCCTTTCCAGTTAGCAAAAGGAGAAAGTAACAAGAAAATCAAGAGCAGGCATGCAATGAAATGTGAAATTTTGTGAAAAGTTACAGCTATATATATGCAAATTTTGAGTCAGGAATATGGTGGGGGGAGAGAGAGTGAGAGATAGAGAGAGTGAGAGCATATCTGGAAACTGGCTTTTTTTTGGCAGGATAAAAAAGCCAGAGAAGAATATAATCATCATCTTGAATAACAGTTTTCAGTTCGCTGTACTGAAATAATAATGATAGCAATACTGTGGGTGGGGGGAACTTTACATCCTGGAGTAACCCTTGTGATCTTCATATTGCTCCATGAACTCGTCGTTGAACTTCTTGAAGCTTTCCATGATTGCTGGCATGTCTTCCTCCGCAGGTAAGATGGTTGTCCTCAGATGGAAAACCCTGCAAAAAACCAGCACAATTGAAACCCATTTATGTTAAACGGATGGGACAACAAAACCCAGATATGTCAGGTTAAGATAGCATCGTTTGATTCTGGTTTTTATACCCTTCTTTCTGGCCGAATCCTGAGCCGGGGACTGTGGAGATGCCTGTAGCTTCCAGTAGCTTGAGGCAGTAGAAGACATCAGCAACTTTGCCAGCACTCTTGGCAGCCTCGATTGCCTTGGGTGGTAACCGTATTTGAGGGAACGAATACATGGCGCCTTGCGTTTTAAAACAGTAAGATCAGGTTAAGTAACTATTAGCTCAATGTACGTATACAATAGTGGCAGGGAGCTAACTAAGAGAGGCTAGCTAGCTAACCTTCAGTGAAGTTGCAAACTACATTGCGGCAGCTATTGAAGCCGTCGGTCATAATCCTAGCCCTTCTCCTTAGTGATTCCAGGACCCCCTTGCTGCATACCATTCCCCATTAGGAAATCCGATTATTCAAAATGCTCCACACGAAGATTATCAAAATTATAGCAGCCATTACCTCTCCCTAATGAACTGCTCATAAGAGATGTCCCCAGGTTTCAGTGGGTTGACCATCAGCCCCATCTGCATATACACATAAAGATTTGAGTTAAATTAGAAACAGTGGAGCGTTGATATTAGTCGTTGAAATACACGTGATCAACGAGTTTATGTACACTTACGAATATCTGAGCAGGGACATTTGGACTGAGGGAAATTGATGCCACCTTGTAGATCTCATCAACTGTCTGCAATGCCAGATTGTTCATAGACAGAAGTTTGAAATTCTAGCTTCCCAATCGGGTAACTTTACAATGGAAGGATACCCATTTCTGGTATAGAGTCCCAAGAGAAGAAATTCTAGACCTTTGGAGGAATGTTGGTCATCTCAAAGTATCCACCTCTCTGCCCACATTCGCCCCAGTATCCTTTAGACACAGTGTGGAAGGAAACAAGCTGAACCTCCTTGCTATAAGGCGGACCCATGTCCATCAAGACCTTCATAAAGCGCGAGTTAAGTCACTAAGCGGACTAAATAATAATGCTTAACCAACAGGGGGAAGGCATAAATATACCTTCTTAGAGCTGATGAATGGACGTTCGTCCTGGTAGATGTTCTGCTGGTAAACCTCATCTCCAAGGAGGACAAGGCCCTCTTGATAACAAAAGCGTAGTATTTCGCTCAAGTTAGCTTCACTAAGACACTGGCCTGTGGGATTTCCAGGGTTTATTATCACCATTGCTTTCACCTGATTCGCATTCCATTGTATTATAAAGTTCAGTTCAGTAATTCATGGCAAGATGCAGTAGGAAATCACCATGGGCAAGCAACGAAAGAATGTACTAACAGTTATCCCTTTGGATTTAGCTTGAGAAACTGCGTTTCTCAGGTCATTCACATCGAGACCCCAGTTTGCCGTCTCTTCCAAGTAATATGGGACAAGGGTACCACCAAAGAGACTGATTGCAGCTGAGTAAAGTGGGTATTGTGGCACTGGAACCAGGATCTGCCGAGAAACGAATACAATGATTGTGAGAAAGAGAGAAGGAATGTTGTCAAGAAGAGTACAAGGACAAAAAGAAAAGACGATTTGACTCACCCCATCACTTGGACCTCTGATGATCGTGCTCAAGATTTGCATCACACCTTTGCTTGCTCCATCAGTGAGAAATATTAATTCTGGATCACTGTCCACCAGGCCCAAGAATACCAAATTTAGTCCTACTCCTACCAAAGGCATAAAACCCAAATAGATAGGTAGCAAAATTGGTCACCTTGGATAACCGTCGCGCCTTAGAAGGAAGTCTGCGACCTCCTGCCTAACTCCTGGAATGCCTCTGGAGTCACTGTATGCACCTGAGAAACGATGAGGAACCAATTATCATTCAGTATTCAAACAAGAACACAGAACCAGCAGTGTATGGAGAAACGAAGGTGGGAAGATGTTACCTAAACCACCAGAAGTCAAGGAGAGGTAATGTTTAGCCCTTGCGATGGCATCAGCAGGGAACATGAGTCCCACATTAGGATCATCCAGTAAAAATGGGGCTTGGCAAAGTGCAACCACCTGTTAAATTCAACATCTCCTTTCCAGTCAATCAAACTAGATCCAAACATAAGCTAAGGTAATTAGAAACTTGATGAGCTTAAAAGTCTGCTTATGATAACCTGTCGAGGGAAGGTCAGTGGCTTCTGTCCAAGAGCATGAGGGTTTCCAACATTTGTGAAAATGATCTACATCAAAACAATATAACCAACTGTTCAGTAATCAAGAACCCAATTCATTAAGCAACAACAAGAACAGTACTGAACTTTGAAGCTGGTTTTAAGTAGCTCTCATCTGATGACTTGCAAATCGCAATGACCTTTTAGCAGATAAAGGGCACACTAACACTCCACGAAATAACTACTACTACAGCGACATCATCACCATGCTTATCTAAGATGAGAAAACCAGAGATTTTGGTGGCCAGTCATAGGACAAAAAGTTTCCTGCTTTCAATGTAGGACAAAACTTTTATACAAGTATCTAGAATCAAAAGGGCTGCAGCAGCTAGCTAGCATCATAAATCCAAAAGAAGCAAAGTACCGTAAAAGGGAAATTTAGTAAAAAAGTACAAGAATCGAACCTTTTTTCCTTCCTTCTGAAGCTCAGAAGCTCGAAGGTACAGCTCGCCCCTCACAGCATACTGAACCTTCTTCACGTTTTCGTTCAGGAGTTCGTAATCCAAACCCTTGGGCGCCATGGCTGTTAAGCTCTCCCTCTATTGATTACAGAGGAAAACAACAACCAAAAGAAAACTTATTAGCTCCTTCTTTGTGAAAGCAGTCATCAAAGGAACGATCCCCATTCAAAATGAAACGCGACAAACGACTCCGAAAAAGTCCCCAATTCTCACGAAACTAAAAAACCCAGCTAATTCTTCGATCAAAAGCGCAAGACCCACTGAATGAATTGAAATTTTAGCAGAGACTAGACCCAATCGAGAAGAGCAAAGCTTCAACTGACCCAATTGGCAACGACCCTTCAATAAACAGAACGAAACGAATCAGGAGGAAATTGAGAACTGGGAACTGCACCTAGAACAGTGAAGGTCGAGACTTTTTATGCACAAGTCGGAGTTTGCTGCGTGGCGTGAGCTGGAGCTGGGTTGAAGCCAAGTGTGATTTTGGCTGGCAGAGGAGGAATTGCGATGAGTGTCACTGTGTCAGCCTTCGTTTGGCGCCTACAATGGTCAAGTGAGTAAACGGAAGTGTAATAATTTTATGTGGCAATGGGTAGACAAGGAAGACATTTGGCCCAATGGGTACGTTATGGGGCACCACCATAGCCACTGAATTATGTTTGAGTTTGATTTTTCTCTTTTTGTTTGGGGATAAATTTCTGAAAGGATAATTGTATTGCATGAAATGTGGTGTGGCTTCAAGCTTCGAGTTCTTGGTCCTGGCTCTCCCGAGCTTCATCTATTCATCCTTTGGAACTATTTGATCTCTCTCTCACTCTCTCCTCCTTTTGCCATTTTGAAGATAGGAAGTTTGTTTGGCAGTGTTCACAAACAAATCTACTTGTCGCTGTTTGATTGATGTAGGCATTTCTTTTGGTTTAGGTAGAGTTGTAGTGTCTTAACTATAGATGAGGAGAAGAGGCTTGATTTGGTTCCTTATTTCTTTGCATGAGGAGAAGAAGCATGAGAACCATATGGATTTAAGTTTCTTCGATGTTTACTCAGAAATTAGTCATATCAAGTGACTCAAAACGGAAAACAAATGATGCTTCACTGGACATAATGACTTTGGGTAGCAGATCCGGTCAATAACTTTGTGATTAATAACTATGCATAATTAAATCAGAATCTTTCATTCATGTCAGTTCCTTTTTTTTCTCCCGAAAAGCCTTTAATTTTACCCCTTAATATTTAACGGACGATTTCTCACTCGTTATAAGTCGAAATTTAATTTTTTTTGCACAGTTAAATCAGATTAATTGTGCTCTTCAAAATGATATCCACTTTGATATATTTTTTGACAAAAAAAAATTGACCCATTTTTTACCAGTCTATACCATATGGTATTGACTGGTATTGATATAAGAGCATACCTATGGTATGAAAAGTGTATCATGGTGGTATGAACAAACCAAGACTGTAGGATGATTGAATACATGATAGTAGAAGTATATTAACAATTATTTACGACTTTTAACATTGTGTACCACCAGATACCAACCCGTTCCAGGGTGGTATTGTATGGTATTGTGTGGTATTTTTTGGTCATGTATTTTGTTCACCCAGAAATTTGCAGATCAATAGATCATGATGAACTCGTTCCTTCTGTGTAAAAATTTTCAAAAACGAATTAAAAATGAAGAAGATACCATATGGTATGCAGTTGGTACCGAGAGGCAAGAAAAGTTTTTTCTAAAAAAATATTGAAAATGGATCTCATTTAACGGATGATTTCTCACTCGTTATAAGTCGAAATTTAATTTCCCCCCTTTAATTTTCCCCCCTTAATCTTTAATGGACGATTTCTCACTCGTTATAAGTCGAAATTTAATTTTTTTGTACAGCTAGATCAGATTAATTGTGCTCTTCAAAATGATATCCACTTTGATATATTTTTGGACAAAAAAAATTGACCCATTTTTTACCAGTCTATACCATATGGTATTGACTGGTATTGAAATAAGAGCATACCTATGGTATGAAAAGTGTACCATGGTGGTATGAACAAACCAAGACTGTAGGATGATTGAATACATGATAGTAGAAGTATATTAACTGTTATTTACGACTTTTAACATTGTGTACCACCAGATACCAACCTGTTCCAGGGTGGTATTGTATGGTATTATGTGGTATTTTTTGGTAATGTATTTTGTTCACCCAGAAATTTGTAGATCCAATAGATCATGATGAACTCGTTCCTTATGTGTAAAAATTTTCAAAAACGAATTAAAAATGAAGAAGATACCATATGGTATGCAGTTGGTACCGAGAGGCAAGAAAATTTTTTCTCAAAAAATGTTGAAAATGGATCTCATTTTGTAGAGCACAACGAAGTCGTTCCATCTATGCAAAAAAAAATTGACATCCGAGTTAAAACGAAGAAGATATGAGCCGATTAAGAAAATAAGGGAAAATAAAAATGTCTTTAATTCTCAACCCTTATATCTGGATTTTATGAATGAAGGGTCCAGATTGGGTTACTGATGGGTGCATCATTGTATCTTGAGTCTGACTTTGGTGAAAATTTTTGCAACATTTTTTCATTGGGAAAATAGCAGCAAAATATGTTGGGTTCTTCCTAGAGTAGTTGTTGGGGACAGGTTATAGTGATTACTACAAGTTGTATTAATCAATTTTTTAAATAAATTTCATTTTATGTAGTTACCAAAATCTATTAATTACAATTCTCTCTCTTTCTCTCACTTCCGTAATCGCCAGCCAGATTCCCTTCCCTTATTTTTCTCAATCTTTCTGCAAAAGAAAAAAAACATGGAATCACTACCAAACCATTAGACAACCACTACCACTTTGGAAAACATCAATCCCATTGCATAAATAAATAAATCTATACCATTACACGAAAACTATCAATATAAACAATCTACCAATATAAATCTATACCATTTCATAAAAAACCAATACCATTGCAGATTTAATCAATACCAGTACATGCAAATTAATACCATTACATGATAATTAATACCAATGCGACAAAAACAATACCAATGCAATAAAATCAATACAAATGCGACGGCAGGGGAGGGGATGGGGGTGGGGTGGGGAGGGGGGAGGAAGGAAGGAGGGAGGGGTGGAGGAGGAAAAGAGGGAGGGACGACGGAGGGAGGGGGTGGGGAGGGGAGGGACTTCGGGGGAGGAGAGAGGCGACCGACGAGTGCGGGTTTGGCTGGAAGGAGGAGAGAGTAGAATTAGGGTTTGTGTATATATAGAATAATCCAGTGTGATTACTTTTTTGTTTCCAAAATTATCCTCGAGCAATCATAATCATGAGATTAAAAAAAGAGGAAAAAGAAAAAAATGGATGGTGGATACTGATGCAGCCAAGGTGGCTACTAGAATTTTAGTAAACATCCTAACGCGTTCCGTAGTTGGTGGCTTGGTGGTGATGTAATGGAGTGTAAAAATTCATGAGAATAGGCCACATACATACCTAATCCTTTGCTTGTTGTGCAGTGACAATACCAATATTCACTAATCATTGTTTTCAAAAACGGTTGTAGTTAGGTAAACCCTACTTCATTATTCCTTGTTCCAAAAGTTCCAAATAATAAAATTATGAGGAATTATCGATCGATTTCTTATTGCAATATCTTTCATAAGTGCATTCAAAGGTTCTGGCATATAGGTTCAAAGAGATTTATATATATAGTCAATAGTCATTATCAATATGCTTTTACAAAAGGGTGATTGATATTAGAGATAAAACATAACAGCATTTATTCTTTTCTCTTTATTGTTTTATCCCACTACATTCTGTTCCTACTTATGTGGAACGTGGGTTGTACTTGTTGCTACAAATTCTCACTTGTATGTGTATAATTAGCTATAGAGATTATCAATGAAATCACGTCAGTTTTTACAACAACATTACTTGCAAATAATACTTCATGGTATCAGAGCTGGTTTGGCCAAGTGGTCGTGTGTTCGAATCTCCACAACCCTCTAATATTAACAGTTGATTAAAGCACAAGATATGATGAGCATGTGCAAACTTCAAGCCCATGGGTTGGCTTTCGTTTGAGGGGCCATGTTAGAGAGTGGTATAAGATCCAGCAGAACCTTCTCCCAACAACTCGAGTTATTGGGACTAACTGGTTCTTGACATGGTATCAGAGCCTAGTTCTATCTTTCCATCTCTGCTATTCGGTTCCTCTATCTCTTATCTTGCTGCCTTGTTTCTATTATTCACCATGTCTGGATTGGCTGTATACATTCCCTCGGCGACATTAGATGACTCCATCATTACCTTCAACCCAGCAGCCCAATTACCTCTCAAATTGACCGCTACAAACTTCAATTCCTGGCGCTCCCAGCTAGAGACTCTCCTCATGGGTCTGGATCTCATCAGCTACATCGATTGAACCGGAGTTGCACCTGCTCAAACAGTCACCGCAGATGGTAAAACCATCCCCAATCCTGCTTAACGTCATTGGTATCGTCAAGATAAGTTGATTCTTCATGCCCTTCGCTGCTCCATCTCAGAATCGCTATACTCATATGTCTCTACCGATGTAACCTCTCGAGAAGCTTGGCTGATTCTAGAAAAAAGCTTTATGCCAGTCGTTCTCAGTCTTGTACCATCAATCTGAAGGTCAAACTTGCTCGTACTGTCATGGGTGATCGTGATATTCTTTACATATGTGAATGACTTGAAGCTTATTGCGGCTAAGCTCGCTCTTGTCGATAACCCTATTTTCGATCTTGATCTAGTGGTTCATTGCCTTCGTGGCCTCGACGCTGATTACAATCACTTCTCTGCTGCTGTACATGCAAGGGGTGGTCTATTACCATTGAAGAACTTCTTGACTCTCTCATTGAATATGAAGGATACTTGAAAGAACATGGCCGATTTAGCTCTGTCCCTACCGCCTTTGTCACTCAAGGCCACCCTCGTCGCGGTGGCATCAGGGGAGCTCCTTACGGCGGTGGCAGCTTACATCCCTCTCGGTAGGAGAGGTCTCACTCCTCTCGACCTTAGCAAGGGTTTGGGACAGATCAAACAGGTCGCAGTCATCCGCTTCTATCCACCTTGCCACTCTGAGCCCACTCGTCCAAGAAGGCAGTTCATTATTTGTCAGTATTGTGAAAATCCCGGACATTCTGTCCATCAATGCTTCAAACTCTTTCTTCAGGCCCGACAGAATTTTCAACAGGCTCGTACGTCTCAGTCCCATCACACTACTTCTCATACTGCTGCTCCTCCATCTACTAGGCCTTGGCTTATGGATACTGCTGTTTCTCATCATGTGACTTCAGATTTGGGCCAACTCACTTTATATTGAGATTATATGGGCCCGGATGAAGTTGTTGTTGGTAATGGCTCAGGTTTGGCGATCTCTCATATTGACTCTTCTACCGTCACTCTTGGTCCTCATTTATTTCATTTGAAAGTCATTTTGTGTGTTCCTAATATAAAACGACATCTCATTTCGGTAGCCAAATAATGCCAAACTAATCCGGTGTCTGTAGAATTTTTTGCCACTCATTTTCTTGTGAAGGATCTTGGCACGGGGGCGCAATTACTGAAGGGTGGGGGGGACAACGGTGATGTCTACGAATTGCCTCGTGGAGTAGAGAATGTTCGAATGGTCCTGGTTACTACTCGGACATCTACGGATTCTTGGCACGCACATCTTGGTCATCCCTCCATCCAATCCATTATCAGTCTTATTCGATCATATTCCCTTCCAGTTTTTGCTTCGGTAGCTAGCTCTTCTTGTGATGCATGT